TCCAGGAAAGTTTCACGGTGCATCCTCCTGGTGTCACAAGTTTTTCGCTCACTCCAAACTTTCTTTCAGCTACTCGATTACCGTTTTCAGATGAATATTTCGCTACTTGCAGCTTGTAATCTGCAAAATATGATTTCCTTTTTGGGGGCACTTATGTTCAGTCTTCTCAGTCGTCTTTATAAATTTGTTTAAATGTAAAATTTTCAGTGGTGAAGAAGTAATGGTTGCGATCAACTGATATGATACAGACAGAACAGAGGCTCTTTCTGCAGGAGACATGTGCAGTAGAGTGAAGTGACAGTGGTACAGGAGGAACAGGAGCAGCAGATACTCACACACAAGACTAGAGCCTCTCATGGCTTCAGTGTGAATATTTTAATATATGAGTCGCACCGGAGTATAAGTCGCAGGAAACATCCAAACCATGAAAAAAAGTGTGACTTATAGTTCGAAAAATACAGTAATCACGATGCATAATGTAAATGAGGAATATCGTTGGACCACTGCAACTGTTTCAAATGAACTAGTTCTGTTTTTCACATTTTTAAGTTAGTAAAAATCAAGTACAGCCCCTTTACGGTAAACACTGCCGGCTTCGTAGATACATTTGCGTTGTTGAGGTAGACTTTGTCAGTACCTAGCTGGAGAATCAATATATTTGTTGTGCATGTTTTAGGTGGTGTACATTTAAAAACATAACAAAATAACAAACATTGAAACACGATCTATTGTTACAGAGAAATATTGCAAGAAACAATGATTATGAAAGTGAATTTGTGCCACTGACGCGTAATAATAAAGCCGGATAATCCCAGGAGTATTATACATGACATATCAGATATTGTAAGATACAGTTTTACTTTTGAGTTGCGTCCGTAAGGGTGGGGACAGAAAACTGTAGATCACAAGGAGTTTTTTTTGTTTTTTTTTTTTTTTTTATTACTGAAGGCATGCAAGAAAACAACACTTCATTACCAGTACAACTTTGTATTTTTTAAGATTTAATGTCATGTTGCCCACTTGTAAAGCAGAGGAACTGAAGAATGACTCTTGAATAACTTTATCACTTAACTTTAAGAACAAACTCTTGGGCAGTTACACTTTCAGTTTCAGAATTACTGTCCCCCGAACAGAAAACACATGACTTACAAGAAGCAGAGCACTTTCACTTTTGCTTTCAGACTATAGGGGGCGTATAAAAAGGGGTTACACTGTTCAGACTTCACTCATACGAGATTCACAACGCAGCACAGGTAGCCTGCACAACAGTATTTGTATTTTTTTAATCCGTATCCTTATGTTTCGAATATTTTATTGATGTAATTTTACTGTTTGCAGATTCAAACGGTGCCACCAAAGAAATCATGGGATCAGGACAATCAACAGAAACCAAAAAAGGTGAGAGATTGTAATTTAGCTGTCATGATTTTTTTCATTTTAATTGCTGAAAGTTAAAGTCGTGCTTTTAGATTTCAGCGCATGCACTTCTGCTAAAACAAACATTTGCATTGCATGTTTTGTTGAGAGACAATTGTGTAATTCTGGCATGGTTGTTTAATAATATATGCATATAACAAAATTAGTTTATAGTTTAGTTTAAAATAGTAGTTGCAGTACACATTTGTTGCCTCTTGAGGGCGCCACATACAACAAAAACCTGTCTAAACCTGGATCTAGAAAACACATACAAGTTTTTCTCATTCTCAGTTTATGGACAGGCTTCGTGTAAAAGCTCAGAACCTCCAGAATTCACTCTCTGAGCTGCAAAGGCTGCACTAGCACTGACTTATGACAGGCTGCATGTGCTGGGGTTTAGGAAAGAGACATTTTAGGTTTAAACCGACTGGATTTTGAAACTGGAAACTCAAATAAAAGCGTCATGTGAGGCTCATTCCGCGTTCTGATTTGATAATTGTCTTGCGAACATAAAAAACTTGGTCTTAATTAAGAATAAATCAGCGTTACAATTATCAGTAAAAGCTTTATTTGATTTGAACTTGTCAAAGTCGTAACCACAGACAAACCGTGACGATGCAGATTATATTCTTTGAAAACCGTCACACATTCTTTTTTTTTATTATTATTAAAGACAACAGAATATAACATTTAAAAAATAAAACAAACATCAACATTTAACAATTACAATATTCAGCATAAAACAAAGACAAAAACATAAAGCAACACCCACAACACCACAACAAATACAAAAAAAAAAAACAACAACACATTCTTTACGTATCAGACAAACTGCACGGTCCTTACATTGAACAAAAAATAATTGATCGTTCACTGTTCTTTGAAAACTGCACTCTCTGTCAACTTTTTGTACTTTAACACGAGACGTTTTTCTGTATTTAACTGCACTACAGAACTCTGCTCGTGCACGTGACGAAAATTCAGCGGCAAATGCAAATACGTCATATAATTATTTAAAAATAAATAATTCATATAAATATCATTGTTTTATTAAAAAAGATCTACAAAATACAAGATGCAGACATGTTTTTATTTGCCAAAAAGTAATAAAAAAAAATAAAAAAAATAGGCCATGTCAACTTTTGAGGATTGCCTTATAGGGCCAGTTCAAGTGGTGCAGGGCAGAGGGGCTGGGGGGCCAGTCCAAGGGGCGTGGCGGTCCAAAGTCTGCCCGCGAGCCTTAGTTTGATGACCCCTGCTGTAAACACACATGATCAGATATCAGACACACAGGATTCATCATCATCATGAGTGCGGAGTGACTGAATAATGAACTGTAAAGTGCTTTGGGTATCTTAAAAGGCGTTATCTAAATGCAATCAATCAATCAATCATCATCATCTTTATTCCGGGCTCATGGTCCACTTGAAAACAGACAAGGACAGTGAAAATACAAAACAATAAACATTTATGATTTTAAAAGACAACCACACCAGTGTCTCCATATACTGGACTGATAACTTACTGCACTGAATCTCATTTGTGAGTGACATTTTTATTTTCATTGTCTGATTTGTTCAGTCTGCAGATAAAACTGTACGTTTAATTCTAAGTTTAGTTTGCAAAGTGTTCACTCGTGCAGTAACAAACATCTCCTCGTCATTGTAGTCCACCTGCAGTCTTTGCAAACAGGATTTTTTGTAATTAATCCAGAGGGGAGCTGTGTACAACGGATTATATCAGATCATCTGTTTTATGGTGTATAGTTTAAATTGTAATTTGAAATAAGAATATTTTTTAAACCTGTTCTAATATTGTATTTTGTCTTTTGTTTTTATCCTAACAGTAATCAAATATGGCAAGTCATTATTTTTTGTTATTATTATTATTATTATTATTATTATTATTATTATTATTATTATTATTATTAATTAATTTATTAATTAATTAATTTATTTATTTATTTTTTATGTATTTATTTTGAGCAAGTAAGCCATTTATACTCTTTTACAGTGGAACAGAGGATTATCCATTTGACATTAGTGCAATCATAACAGAAATAACAACAACAAACAATTTGTTGGGAAGAAGAAAACTTAATATACTGTAGCTTTTCATTTATAGACTGTATCCTGTATAAAAATAATAATCTGTCAAATCTGTTTTCATTTCCACAGTGGAGGTTCCTGCTCATAAGTTCACAAAAATGATTCAAGACAATTTCTTATTTTTCTCTCTCTATATATAATATTAATGCAATGTTGGATGCGTGTGTGTGTGTGTGTGTGTGTGTGTGTGTGTGTGTTTGTTTGTTTTTCAAGCTCCTCCAAGTCCAGGTAAGTAGTACATATTTATATTTTATTATCTTGAAAAATAAACCAGCATAGAACGTATTTGTGACAAAGATGCAGACATGTTTTTATTTGCCAAAAAGTAATAAAAAAAATAAAATAGGCCATGTCAATTTTTGAGGATTGCCTTATAGGGCCAGTTCAAGTGGTGCAGGGCAGAGGGGCTGGGGGGCCAGTCCAAGGGGCGTGGCGGTCCAAAGTCTGCCCGCGAGCCTTAGTTTGATGACCCCTGCTGTAAACGTTCACACACATGATCAGATATCAGACAGATAGGATCAGACACACAGGATTCATCATCATCATGAGTGCGGAGTGACTGAATAATGAACTGTAAAGTGCTTTGGGTATCTTAAAAGGCGTTATCTAAATGCAATCAATCAATCAATCATCATCATCTTTATTCCGGGCTCATGGTCCACTTGAAAACAGACAAGGACAGTGAAAATACAAAACAATAAACATTTATGATTTTAAAAGACAACCACACCAGTGTCTCCATATACTGGACTGATAACTTACTGCACTGAATCTCATTTGTGAGTGACATTTTTATTTCATTGTCTGATTTGTTCAGTCTGCAGATAAAACTGTACGTTTAATTCTAAGTTTAGTTTGCAAAGTGTTCACTCGTGCAGTAACAAACATCTCCTCGTCATTGTAGTCCACCTGCAGTCTTTGCAAACAGGATTTTTTGTAATTAATCCAGAGGGGAGCTGTGTACAACGGATTATATCAGATCATCTGTTTTATGGTGTATAGTTTAAATTGTAATTTGAAATAAGAATATTTTTTAAACCTGTTCTAAAAATTGTATTTTGTCTTTTGTTTTTATCCTAACAGTAATCAAATATGGCAAGTCATTATTTTATTATTATTATTATTATTATTATTATTATTATTATTATTATTTTATTTATTTATTTAATTTATTTATTTATTTATTATTTATTTTTATGTATTTATTTTGAGCAAGTTAGCCATTTATACTCTTTTACAGTGGAACAGAGGATTATCCATTTGACATTAGTGCAATCATAACAGAAATAACAACAACAAACAATTTGTTGGGAAGAAGAAAACTTAATATACTGTAGCTTTTCATTTATAGACTGTATCCTGTATAAAAATAATAATCTGTCAAATCTGTTTTCATTTCCACAGTGGAGGTTCCTGCTCCTGCCCGTAAGTTCACAAAAATGATTCAAGACAATTTCTTATTTTTCTCTCTCTATATATAATATTAATGCAATGTTGGATGCGTGTGTGTGTGTGTGTGTGTGTGTGTGTGTGTGTGTGTGTGTTGTTTGTTTGTTTTTCAAGCTCCTTCCAAGTCCAGGTAAGTAGTACATATTTATATTTTATTATCTTGAAAAATAAAACCAGCATAGAACGTATTTGTGACAAAGATGCAGACATGTTTTTATTTGCCAAAAAGTAATAAAAAAAAAAATAAAATAGGCCATGTCAATTTTTGAGGATTGCCTTATAGGGCCAGTTCAAGTGGTGCAGGGCAGAGGGGCTGGGGGGCCAGTCCAAGGGGCGTGGCGGTCCAAAGTCTGCCCGCGAGCCTTAGTTTGATGACCCCTGCTGTAAACGTTCACACACATGATCAGATATCAGACAGATAGGATCAGACACACAGGATTCATCATCATCATGAGTGCGGAGTGACTGAATAATGAACTGTAAAGTGCTTTGGGTATCTTAAAAGGCGTTATCTAAATGCAATCAATCAATCAATCATCATCATCTTTATTCCGGGCTCATGGTCCACTTGAAAACAGACAAGGACAGTGAAAATACAAAACAATAAACATTTATGATTTTAAAAGACAACCACACCAGTGTCTCCATATACTGGACTGATAACTTACTGCACTGAATCTCATTTGTGAGTGACATTTTTATTTCATTGTCTGATTTGTTCAGTCTGCAGATAAAACTGTACGTTTAATTCTAAGTTTAGTTTGCAAAGTGTTCACTCGTGCAGTAACAAACATCTCCTCGTCATTGTAGTCCACCTGCAGTCTTTGCAAACAGGATTTTTTGTAATTAATCCAGAGGGAGCTGTGTACAACGGATTATATCAGATCATCTGTTTTATGGTGTATAGTTTAAATTGTAATTTGAAATAAGAATATTTTTAAAACCTGTTCTAAAATTGTATTTTGTCTTTTGTTTTTATCCTAACAGAAATCAATATGGTAAGTCATTATTTATTATTATTATTATTATTATTATTAATTAATTAATTAATTTATTTATTTATTTATTTATTTATTCATTTATTTATTTATTTTTTATGTATTTATTTTGAGCAAGTTAAGCCATTTATACTCTTTTACAGTGGAACAGAGGATTATCCATTTGACATTAGTGCAATCATAACAGAAATAACAACAACAAAACAATTTGTTGGGAAGAAGAAAACTTAATATACTGTAGCTTTTCATTTATAGACTGTATCCTGTATAAAAATAATAATCTGTCAAATCTGTTTTCATTTCCACAGTGGAGGTTCCTGCTCCTGCCCGTAAGTTCACAAAAATGATTCAAGACAATTTCTTATTTTTCTCTCTCTCTATATATAATATTAATGCAATGTTGGATGCGTGTGTGTGTGTGTGTGTGTGTGTGTGTGTGTGGTTTGTTTGTTTTTAAAGCTCCTCCAACTCCAAGTAAGTAGTACATATTTATATTTTATTATCTTGAAAAATAAACCAGTATATAACGTATTTGTGACAAGTCCAGTGACTGTTCTGTGTTTTCTTCTTCAGTGTTTGATAAACCTTGGAGGGAGATCGACTGGGGGTAAGTGTTTAAGGACACAGAGTACAAAGTGTTTCAGGTGTTCGTTCTGTGGTAAATATTTATCGTAGTTTTACATCAGTGACGCAGCAGGTTGTGGTTGAAAAGAAAAGTTCAAAAATACCTAGCACACAGTAAGGTTTCTCCAGAATGCAAACACCATTTATACACGAGTAAGACAGTGTTTTTAAACAGCTATTAGAATCACAACTGAACCTGAGTTGGCGTATGGACAGGTCATGTGTCATGTGAAGGCTCAGAACCTCTAGAATTCACTCAGTGAGTTGCAGAGGCTGCACTAGCACTGCTGTCATCTATTATTATTAGTCTAATCATAACTATTCTGTAATTTAGACAAGCTCTGGTCCTTGTCAAAGGGCCCATCTCATGCAACATAACTCTTCACATTGTATCTTCTGCACATAAACAAGCACAATCTGAGTTTTAGAACATCCAAAATAGTTCTGAAATCTTACTGATTTCTTGTAGCAGAAAGGGCTTTCCTCCATCAAACGCGTCATAGGTGTATCTGCCGCGTCATTGCTGTAGCAGCTTTAGTTTGTTGTCACGTGGGAGGGAGGCAGAAATATGCTGCAATTTAAAAAAAAAAAAGAAGCCAAATCAACCTAAAAAAAACACTTCGGTGACACACATCACTCTTAGAAGGTAGAAAGCTCTGAAAAGTTGATTTTTAATGAGATGGGCCCTTTAACATTATGGTTGATAAATAACAGTTTTAGAGCAGAGGGTTTTTTTTTTTCAGAATTAAAATAAAAAGAAAAAGCGACACTAGACGTTTTAATAGTGTTAGATTAATAACCCTCTAAAGTCTGAAAAACATACTTGCACTGACTGTCCTGTGTGACTTTAGTTGGTAAAAATCAATTGGGTTACAGGGCCTTTTAAGTCAAGATGAGCTCAGAAAAGCGTAAAATAAATCATAAAAAATAACCCCTCTTCTTTCTCTGTTGTCGTGGGCAGAAACAATGAGGCGCTTCTGCAGGAGTTGATGGACTACGAGCCCCAGAATGACGAAGTGCATCACCTTCGGGTGCTGGTGTACGGTCCTGTGGGGGCGGGAAAGTCCAGCCTCATCAACTCCATGACCAGTGCTCTGCTGGGGAGGATGGCCATCCCCGCTGCTGTCAACAACACTCAGTCAGACGAGGGCAGCTTCACTGTGCAGGTACTTCACTCAAGGAGACACGTCACGCAAAATCCACATTCCCTGAAGCTCACTCAGAGTTGTGTTTTGATATTCATGTAGGTTTGACTTTTTAATGGACACATTGTGAATATAAAAGTGTCTGTAATTGTACCAATGAGCTACAGCTACAACTACTGGGAGAGATGGTCCCATTCACAGCAGAGCTCTTCTGCTGTTGCTCAGACAGAGGCTTGAGTTTGCTCTTGGTCACATGAGAGAGGAGGGCTCACACCGGCTTTACTCTGACTGCATTTTTGGGACCTGTAAGATTTACTTTAAGTCTTTAAAGTCAAAGCACCCTGCCCCCTGACCTCAGTGGAGTGTGAGTTTAGAGACCTCTACTCACAGCGAGGTGCAGGTCTGTGCAGAGAAAAGAAACAAGTTCATTTTCCCCAGGACACTGCAGACATTAAATGTCTATTATCACATAAAACCACATTGCTTTGGTCTAATAAGTGCACCAATTGTTGTCACTGATGTAACAGTCAATGTGCAGGTAACACACTGTACTGTAAGTACATGCTTCTAACCCGCCCTGCAGTTTGTGTAAAATCGCAGCGTCAGATCAGTCGATCTTTTGTACCTGTCCGACTGTGAGACCTACGACCCACAACTCTGAGCCACCACCAGTTTGATTTATGCATGTTTGAGTAATCCTGTATTTTCCTGCATTCGAGGCTTTAGTGAATTCACATTTCCATTCACTGCTCTGTTCTTACTCACAATTATTATAATTATTATTATTCAAATAATTCAGACTTCAGGTCACACATGTGGTGATTAAAAATGGCACAAAGGCATTTTTCAACCACAATAATATGTAAAAAAAAAAAAAAAAAAGAAAAGAAAAGAAAAGAAAAAAGAAAACTTCCTGCCATTTTTAAAAGGAAATCAACACATTTTAGATCATTTTTTTGGTTTACAATGAATAATAAGCACCAGATATACCAAAATATCATAATATGTCTTCTTTCAGTACAAAACTCACCGGATTAGAAAAGGACGAGGAAAGTCAAGAGGATACTTTCCGTTCGTCTTCAATGACATCATGGGACTGGAGAGTGACAAAAACGTGGGCGTCCGAGCAGAGGACTTAAAACTGGCCATGATGGGACACGTGAAGGAGGGATACAAGGTAACGTCCAGATGACTCCAGTGGTTTTCCATTTTGTTTCTGACGTATAAAGACAGTCTATTATCAGCTTCTACTCTGTCAGCGCTAATTTGTCGGTTAATAGCAGGGGTCCCATAGCATATTTCACAAACACATGGGCTCAGAAACAGCTTAATAAAAAACATATCATTGACTATCACTGTTGGGTAAGTGACTTTAAAACTGTAATATGACTTGTTACTGTCATTTCAAAGTGATTTGTTACATTATAATATTACTGTGTTTAAAATGTAAAACATTAAACAACTACTGCAGCACTTTTAAATTACTCTCACTAAATCGGGACTAAACCAGTACTGAACCAGAACTAAACCAGGACTAAACCAGAGCTGAACCTTGACTGAACCAGAACTAAACCAGGTCTAAACCAGGACTGAACCGAGGACTGAACCGAAGACTGAACCAAGACTAAACCAGGTCTAAACCAGGACTGAACTGAGGACTGAACCAGGTCTAAACCAGGACTGAACCAGGTCTAAACCAGGACTGAACCAGGACTGAACCAGGTCTAAACCAGGACTGAACCAGGTCTAAACCAGGACTAAACCAGGACTGAACTAGGACTAAACCAGGACTGAACCGAAGACTGAACAAAGACTAAACCAGGACTGAACCTAAGACTGACCCAGGTCTAAACCAGGACTAAACCAGAGCTGAACCAGGACTGAACCAGAACTAAACCAGGTCTAAACCAGAGCTGAACCAGGACTGAACCAGAACTAAACCAGGTCTAAACCAGGTCTAAACCAGGACTGAACTGAGGACTGAACCAGGTCAAACATTCGGAACCATAACAATGTTATTTCACCGCTGCTGATATCGCGGTGATTTCAGCAAATTTGTATGAAGAAAAACAAAAAAAATTGCATTGTGACGTGCGTTACTGACATTTGTACCCAGTAAAATATTAAAATTTTTCCCCCCTGTACTGCCTCATATTACTGCATTAGAGCAAAAAGCAACGCAGTACAGTAATTTGTTACTTTTATAACACTTTACTCCCAACACTGTTGACTACTACAAATGACTGAATCTTGATGTTGATTGAAATATATTAAAACTGAAACATGTAGGATAAATAATGGGTTAAATAGAACTTAATTGGTGTTTACATTTCCTTAATTTACTTAATTATTTTTTATTTTATTTTATAGTTCAACCCCATATGTTCTCTCTCTCCGAGTGATCATTACTACAACCCCCACCCCAAACCTGATGACAAGGTGCACGTCCTGGTCCTGCTGCTCTCAGCCAACTGCCCAGAGACCAACACCTCCGTGATTCAGAAAATGAAGGAGGTCCGACAGACGGCCAGAGACTTAGGTATGAACATGTGCTACCGGTGGGGATGGGACAAAATCTCATACCACAAGATCTCGCAAGACCAGTTCGTGCGCACATGAGTAAATTGACCTTGTGAGATTTTTTCCACCCATGTTTTTACATTTGGATTGGACAAAAAAGGGTTGAATGCTGGTGAGTTCACATTTTGACAAGCTGTAGTTCCAAAAAATACAGCAAAAGTACTCCATAAAAGATATAAAAAATGTAAAACTGTGGACTGAACACCACAATTTATTGATTATAATTCATAAGAAAATCTTGCCTTGTCTAGTCTAGTTAAAACTTAATTTTACTTACACTTTCAGTCAAAAGTTTGGAGACACTTTTTCAATTTTTCCACTTCATTTTCATGATTATTTACATTGTAGTTTCTAGTGAAAAGCATTAAAACTATGAATGAACACATATGGAATGCGGTAAACAAAAATAAAATAACAAAAACCCTTTACTTTTATCACTTTTATCACTTTTTTATGTTCTCTCTTTTGGCATTTCTTGACCCTGACATGGCAAATGTGAAGTGAAAACCATTTCAGGAGACTTTCTCGTGAAGCTCATAGAGAGAAGGCCAAGGGCTTGCAGTGCAAACAGTGAAACAAAGTTATTTAGACAATTTTTCTTTGCTTCATAATTCCACATATCTTATATCAAATATATTATTCTGTTTGTATCTAAATTGTCAAAAGTAGTGAACATAAAAAAGAAAACAGGATGAGAAAGTGTTTCCAAACTTTTGACTTGCAGTGTATTAAGACTACTTCCATCCATCCATTTTCTTCTGTTTATCCTGGGCTGGGTCACGGGGGCAGCAGTCCAAGCAGGGACTCCCAGACTTCCTTCACCCCAGACACATCCTCAGCTCCCCTCACTTGTGAACAAGACCCTGAGATACTTGAACTCCTTCACTTGAGGCAGGGACTCCCCACCCACACGGAGAGGACAAGCCACATTTTTCCCGTTGAGAACCATGTCCTCGGATTTAGAAGAGCTGATCTTCATCCCAGCTGCTTCACACTCGGCTGCAAACCGCCCCAGTGCACATTGCAGATCCTGGTTTGATGAAGCCAACAGGACAACATCATCTGCAAATAGCAGAGATGAGATCCTGTGGTCCCCAAACCGGACCCCCTCCGACCCCTGACTGCGCCTAGTAATTCTGTCCATGAATACAAAGAACAGAACCGGTGACAAAGGGCAGCCCTGGCGGAGTCTAAATAGATTACTTATTCTGTGCAATGTTTGAGCCCACTGATAATCCAGGATTTCTCAGTTTTGCAGTGAAAGACTAACTACAAATGCCACAGCTTCTTTATTATAATTCATATCTCATGGATTTTATCTCGTGTCTCGTCTCGTCTTGTGAGAATTCTGTCTCAGCCCACCCCGAAATACAGGGATTATGCATTGTTTTATGTGAGCCAAGTAATACTGTATCTTACGTACACTTTCAGTTAAAAGTTTGGACACATTTTTCAATTTTTCCACTTCTTTTACATGATTATTTACATTGTAGTTTCTCAAAAGTATGAATGAACACATATAGAATGTGGTAAACAAAAACAAAAACACTCAAAATAACAAAACTTTGAGATTTACAAACAGTCACCCCTTGCTTTTATCACTGGTTTATTTTCTCTCTTTTGGCATTTCTTGATCCTGAGTTATTTAGGTTAACCATATTTTCTTTTTTGTTACATAATCCCACATATCTTATATCAAGAGTATGATTCTGTTTGTATCTAAATTGTCGAAAGTAGTGAAAATATAAAAAGAAAAACAGGATGAGAAAGTGTATCCAAACTTTTTGACTAGCAGTGTGTTAAGGTTACTTATTCTGTGCAATGTTTAAGACCATTGATAATCCAGGATTGCTCAGTTTTGCAGTGAAAGATTAACTCCTGTGTTCTGTGTGCTCACAGGGATCCCCCAGATTGCCATTGGCACACACATTGATGATGTCTGTGATCAAATCGAAAAGGACATCAAGAATGTCTACAAGAGCAAGTCTCTAAAGACCAAGGTGGGTTAAACATACTTCTGTATATTAAATGTCGTCCACGTGGCCTGTAGACTCTAAAAACAAGACGTTTCTTGGTTTACCAAAAGAAAAGGTTTACCTGTGTGGGAGCACTTTTGGTCTATCAGCTGGAAACCCCTGTCCGTCTAAACTGAGTGACCCAGAACGAGTCTAACAAGTAAACAAGTCCAGACCTAGAGTTTATTCGAGCTCCTCAGTGCCTTTGATTGATAATGACTTCTGGATACATCTGGAAACATCTCGATTAAGGGTGTAATGATATTGTGAAACAATATTGTCATGGTATGAATCTTTATTGATAACAAAACTGTGAATATACTACTTTTTCCTCTTAAAATGCCTTGACAAGACTAGTCTACAGTGAAATGGAGAAAAGGATCATGGTCTATGTAGTTCTCTCTGTCTTTTTTAGCTACTGCTGCGCCATAACTCTTAATTTAAACAAAGAGACTTGTAATTAGATATATTATGATGGTCCAGGATATTATTGTGAGAACTTTGACAGTACGATATCACGATTATTGTTACATCCCTAATCTCGATTGATCAAAAACATTGTCCAGATTACCTTTGAAATCTTTTCAAATGAGGGATTACACAGACCTAGCCAGGCTGGCACCACCTAGTGCCTCCGCTCAATTTAATTTCTCTCCAACAACTAGGTCAGGAATCAAAATACAATAGAAGGTTCCCAAAAACCCCAGAAGTGCAAGTTCAGGCACCAGCCAATCGGCAAAGAGCCAATCAGCAATTCTGTGTTGGCAACGATTCTGGAAATTGAGGATTTAAAGATGGAATAAAGAGAATGTTTGGTGAATTTTATCAAGGGGAAAGACATTATTGTCCTTCTTCCTACGGGATTACATATGTCACTACAAAATAGCAGCGACTGGTTAAATGAAAAAAGTACCCACCTACCGTCGAACGAACAAAATCTAAGGCTGTGAGGTCAGACAGTTTCTACAAAGTGAAACGAAGTAAAACCGGCTGATGAATCAGGTTAACATGGACCATTCATATAGGCAAATATATTACTGAGGTTAAGTCTGTGTAAGGAAATGTGCATTTGACACGTCCTTCAGCTGAGGCAACCTGGAGCACTGGACCTGGGCATCTTCAGATCCTGAGTTAGTCTTGGCCAGGATCGTACCTAAAGTGCCCATCCAGACACAAACAGAAACATGTAAACTCCAAATAAACAGGCCCAGGAACCTTCTAACTGTGAGGGGAGAGAACCACTCAGTCTCCATGCAGCTTAGTTCAATAGCACAATGTTTGAAGAGATACTAATAACAATGAACAGTCACATATTTGGACGTTATATGGTTTACAAGAGTTAATGAGTATAAAATTGTCATGTTTTTGATCAGATGGAGATGTTCAGTAATGAGGTGGGGATCCCTCTGAACTGCATCATGGCTCTGAAGAACTACAGCCAGGGAGAAATGAAGAACAACCCGGACATGGACACGCTCATCCTCACGGCGCTCAAACACATAATGGACTTTGGAGACGACTTCATCGAAGAAATGTCAGAAACGGCAAATGGGGTTTAAGTGTTTTTAGTTACGTTTGGAATCGAATATTATACTATGTAAAGTTTGTGATTGTGTTTTGATTGATTCATGCATCCGTAAGTAATCCAGTATTGTCCTTATGATATTTTACTCCCTTAATCCACTTGTATTACACGTGTATGCTTACCTCCTGTCTGTGCACGCTGCCCTGTACTGTACCTGAGATTATGAAACGTATTCACTTTGGGCTGTACATTTGTGGTCATGTGGCTATTTTAAAACAACAAACCTGTGACTGAGTTTGATTCAAATTATGAAGTGGGACTAAACATTAAATGCACTTACTGATATTAAATTGTCTTTGTGGTCTTTTAAAAGCATTACATTCTGGAAGTTGCCGTGCACGTCGCCATCATCATTCAGGTTATACTATTTTGCAAGGAGCTGCCGATTTTAACAGTAAATAAGTTCTAGACCAGGGGTGTCAAACATACAGCCCTGGGGCCCTTCAAGACCTTTGTTCTGTATTGGTAAAAAATGTAAATATTGGTAATTTTCTGCGCCGCTTAGCACAGCAGCATCTCCAGCGTCTCTGTGCTTGGCCCCTCCCACCAGAGCAGCACAAATGAAGACTTGTCTCTTTCCAAACGCTCTTAAAGGTGACACCCTCATCAGCAAAATGCCAAAAATGAGAAAAGTGGATGCAGAGTGCAGGATTTTCCAAGAAAAACTGACTTATTCCTATTTGCATACAAGTTCATGTTAAAACATTGTGTTGAAATTACATTTTTCTTAAAGTTTTTGGTTGTTCATAATATTATAATATTTTGTAAAGGAAAGAGTTCATCAATTAAAAAAAGATTTCTGTAATAGATTTGTGTTTCTCTGCACAAATATTTGAACTTGTTGCTATTTTTGGGGTTTATATGACATAAGTTTTCTGATCCGGCCCCTTTGGGATCAAAGTAGGTTGGATATGACCCCCGGACCAAAATGAGTTTGACACCCCTGGTCTAGACAAAGCTGTTTTAAAGCCTCCCATATTATCAGTGCAGTGTTGACTTGTTGGTGAACATAAACACTGATTATTTTTCACAAATCAATGCACTTTATATCATAATTGAAGGTGCACTATGTCATTTTTCTGGAGATGGTCCACAACCTGTTTGTCCCCGTGGAGGAGTTAATGATTTGGTTTAAATTGTCCATTGTACATTTTGGAACGACTGCTTAAAATTTATTAAAGATCATATAGACCCTAACTTTTCATTAAAATTTGAACATATTATTTTTGGTGTACATGAAAAGAATTTAGACCCAAATAAAAGAATGGTAATTAATTTAATTGTTGTATTTGGCAAATTTTATATTCACAAATGTAAATTCTCACACACTTCTTTATTTTTTTCCTGTTTTAATTAAGCAATTAGAATTATACTTATCTTCTGTCTCTAAAAGTGTAAACAAAAAAGCTGTATTGATATATGAGAGTTGTATGTGCATGAATATTTTTTTACAGTTTAACAGTGGCGATTAAGGTTTTGCCTTTACCCGCTCGTTTCTGGGTGTAAAAGTTTGACCTGAGCATAGCGCGCAGAGGCATAATTCTACCTGGTGTCCTGGTGCTGATATGGACTGACCGTAACTTTCAGATTGAAGTGGGAAGTGAGATTAAGATTAAAACCGCTCGTGCACTCGGCTCCCGGACCTCGCGTCACGGACCAGACTGGACCAGGATTTGGACCAGTTTCATCTCTTCATATTGGACAATAGACTTTTGGAGACAGAACCAGTGGGACAGTGGACAGAGGAAACATTCTGCTTCAGTCTCTGGAGAAGGTAAGAGGCTGGTTTTCATTAGTTTGCAGCAAATCTGAACATGAAGCCTCACAGGTAAAAGTGTTAGTGTTAATAGTGTTAATAGTTAAATAGTGTTAATAGTGTGTTAATAGTTAAATAGTGTTATAGTGTTAAATAGTAGTGTTAATAGTTAAATAGTAGTGTTATAGTGTTAATAGTTAAATAGTGTTAGTGTTAATAGTGTTAATAGTTAAATAGTGTTAATAGTGTTTAATAGTTAAATAGTGTTATAGTGTTAATAGTTAAATAGTGTTATAGTTAATAGTGTTAATAGTTAAATAGTGTTATAGTGTTAATATAGTGTTAAAGTAGTGTTATAGTAATAGTGTTTAATAGTTAAATAGTGTTAATAGTTAATAGTGTTAATAGTTAAATAGTGTTAATAGTTAAATAGTGTTAAATAGTTAAATAGTGTTATAGTGTTAAGTGTTAATAGTTAAATAGTGTTATAGTGTTAATAGTTAATAGTTAAATAGTGTTAATAGTGTTAGTGTTAATAGTGTTAATAGTTAAATAGTGTTAATAGTTAAATAGTGTTATAGTGTTAATAGTGTTAAATAGTTTATAGTGTTAATAGTTAAATAGTGTTAATAGTGTTAATAGTTAAATAGTGTTATAGTGTTAATAGTTTAAATAGTGTTATAGTGTTAGTGTTAATAGTTAAATAGTGTTGTATAGTGTTAATAGTTAAATAGTGTTATAGTGTGTGTTAATAGTTAAATAGTGTTAATAGTAGTGTTAATAGTTAAATATAGTGTTATAGTGTTATAGTTAAATAGTTATAGTGTTAATAGTTAAATAGTGTTAATAGTTAGTGTTAATAGTTAAATAGTGTTATAGTTTAAATAGTTTAATAGTTAAATAGTGTTAATAGTAGTGTTAATAGTGTAAATAGTGTTATAGTGTTAATAGTTAAATAGTGTTATAGTGTTAATAGTTAAATAGTGTTAATAGTGTTAATAGTGTTAATAGTTAAATAGTGTTATAGTGTTAATAGTTAAATAGTGTTATAGTGTTAATAGTTAAATAGTGTTATAGTGTTAATAGTTAAATAGTGTTAATAGTTAAATAGTGTTATAGTGTTAATAGTTAAATAGTGTTAATAGTGTTATAGTGTTAATAGTTAAATAGTGTTAATAGTTAAATAGTTTAAATAGTTTAAATAGTTAAATAGTTTATAGTGTTAATAGTTAAATAGTGTAAATAGTGTAATAGTGTAATAGTTAATAGTGTTATAGTGTTAAAGTAGTGTTAAATAGTGTTATAGTGTTAATAGTTAAATAGTGTTATATAGTAGTGTTAATAGTTAAAGTGTTAATAGTTAATGTGTTTAATAGTTAAATAGTGTTATAGTGTTAATAGTTAAATAGTGTTATATAGTGTTAATAGTTAAATAGTGTTATAGTAATAGTTAATAGTTAAATAGTGTTATAGTGTTAATAGTTAAATAGTGTTATAGTGTTAATAGTTTAAAAGTAGTGTTATAGTGTTAATAGTGTTAAATAGTGTTAAATAGTGTTAGTGTTAATAGTTAAATAGTGTTATAGTGTTAATAGTTAAATAGTGTTATAGTGTTAATAGTTAAATAGTGTTAATAAGTGTTATAATAGTTAAAAATAGTGTTAATAGTTAAATAGTGTTATAGTGTGTAATAGTTAAATAGTGTTATAGTGTTAATATAGTTAATAGTTAAATAGTGTTATAGTGTTAATAGTTAAAATAGTGTTAATAGTTAAATAGTGTTAATAGTGTTAATAGTTAAATAGTGTAATAGTGTATAATAGTGTTATAGTTAAATAGTTAATAGTTAAATAGTGTTAAATAGTTAAATAGTGTTAAGTAGTTAAATAGTGTTAATAGTGTTAATAGTTAAATAGTGTTATAGTTAGTTAAATAGTGTGTAATAGTTAAATAGTGTTAATAATAGTTAAATAGTGTTAATAGTTAAATAGTGTTAATAGTGTTAATAGTTAAATAGTGTTATAGTTAATAGTTTAATGTTAAATAGTTAGTTTAATAGTTAAATAGTTAAATAGTTATAGTGTGTTAAATAGTTAAATAGTGTTATAGTGTTAATAGTTAAATAGTGTTATATGTTAGTAGTTTAAATAGTGTTAAGTGTTAGTTAATAGTTAGTTAATAGTTAAATAGTGTTAATAGTGTTAATAGTTAAATAGTGTTATATGTTAAATAGTGTTAATAGTTAAATAGTGTTATAGTGTTAATAAGTGTTAAATAGTGTTATAGTGTTAATAGTTTAAATAGTGTTATAGTGTTAATAGTTATAATAGTTAATATAGTTTAAATAGTGTTAAATAGTGTTAATAGTTAAATAGTGTTATAGTTTAATAGTTATATAGTGTATAGTAGTGTTATAATAGTGTTATAGTGTAATAGTTAAATAGTTAAATAGTGTTAATAGTTAAAGTGTTAGTGTTAATAGTTAAATAGTGTTAATAGTTAAATAGTTAAATAGTGTTATAGTTAAATAGTGTTAGTTAAATAGTTAAATAGTGTTATAGTGTTAATAGTTTAAATAGTTAATAGTGTTATAGTTAATAGTTAATAGTTAAATAGTGTTATAGTGTTAATAGTTAAATAGTGTTATAGTGTTAATAGTGTGTTAATAGTTAAATAGTGTTATAGTGTTAATAGTTAAATAGTGTTATAGTGTTAATAGTTAAATAGTGTTTATAGTGTTAATAGTTAAATAGTGTTATAGTGTTAATAGTTAAATAGTGTTATAGTGTTAATAGTTAAATAGTGTTATAGTGTTAATAGTTAATAGTGTGCATAAATGAGCTGGTGTACATGATGGAGCTGCTCTGGTTGTTCTGTCGTGTGCTGTAGAAGCGGCATCTGTGTTCATGTCTCTTATTGTAGTTTTACTGACGTTGTTGGGTCTTGGTGTGAGCGGTGTGTTACATTGTGTTGTTGCGTAAAGTTTGCGCTTGGCTGTTCATTGTGCTCTGATCGATACTGTTCAGCCAATACTAACCAAAATGTATGTTTCTGTTATTTGTTATAATACTATAGACTATATATATATAATACATATATTATTCATAATATATATTTATAATTTTAGCCTTGGTGCCCCTCCCAAAAATTATACCACCAGCTGCCACTGGTCCTGTTTTAGTCCTGTTTTAGTCCTTTTTTAGTCCTGGTTTAGTCCCGGTCCCTCAAGTCTCAGGTCTCTATAGGACAGGACAGGACTGGACGGTGACTCATGTACCACGTTCACTACAGCCCTGGTGTTGTCCGATGCGTGGCTATTTCTAGTTCAGAGGTGTTTTTGACGAGAGGCTGTTGTTTAATGTTTACAACCAGTGGCCTTATTGTTTTTTAATAAACCTCAACCTTTTATTATTGTCTTGTGTGCCTGTTGTCTACCACACAGCCTCAACTATTGCAGCTAATAATAATAATTTTAATATAATAATGATAAAAAATAACAACACATAATTACTGTTTACCCAATTACCCAATACT